ATGCATCTGCCAGCCTGGTCTCACTCCCAGGGCATCAGAATCAAAATCAGCAGCACCCCCTGTGTTAATCAACTGTGTGAGATGCACAAGTCCTTCCACCAACTCAAGTATAAACCCATCTGCGTCATTATTACATGCCAAGAGACGTAGCAGACGTAGTTTGAAGAGTGTAAAAAGAGAAGATAATAGGTCCAACAAACAATGGACTTTGACCCAGGAGACCGGTGTTCTCACTTAAAGCTGGAGGCTTTTTAGTGACACCCAGGTTTTTTTCCTAACCATGACCAAGTAGTTGTGTTGCCTAAACCTAATTGCCGACCCCCTCTGCATCAAGATATAAAGCAAAACGCTTTAGGGGCATGAGTGGATGAGATCATGTTGCATCTGCAAAAGATAGTGTCAGCCAATAAAACAGCCTGTCAACTTAAGGGATGAACTGGTTTTTCCATATTTGCAGCAACATAATGTAAATGGACCTGTTCTTGCATAGCGCTTTTCTAGTCTTCCGACCACTCAAAGCGCTTTTACACTATGTCACATTCACCCATTCACACACTGGTGGCCAAGGCTACTACACAAGACGCCACCTGCTACTCAGTAACCATTCACACGCACTCACACACCAATGGAACAGCCATTGGGAGCAATCTGGGTTTCAGTATCTTGCCCAAGGATACTTCGACATGTGGACTGGAGGAGCCAGGGATCGAACTGATGATCTTCCGATTAGGTCTCAAACCTTAATAATTGTAGCAGCTACAATATCTATGGTATCCTCATTCCTGCCTTGTTGCCCTGTGAAAAACAAATCTCACGAGTCACTTAACGTGTGTGTACGCGCTGATTTGTTTTCTGTATGAGAGAGTTGGCATAATCGGACACTGAATCCTGTTGTATATTGCCATGTCCAGCACCTTGGCCTTGGTGAAGCATCACATTAGCTAATGGGTGAGTTAAGTATGAAAGCCACTTTTGGAAGCTCTGTGTAATTGTTGCTAAAATTCCTATTTTTGTGCCTTTCGCATGAAACCATTTACCTTCCATCTCTACTCCCAACACATACCTGCCATGACCCTTCCCCCTCTTCCTCCTCCTCCTCATCATTCCTTATCTAATGTTACTGTCTTTTCCCCCGTCTTCCCCCATCCACTTGTCCTCTCCGTCTCACAGGGATTCCTTCAAACGTCTAAGTTTCCGCAGAACTCAGGAGGAAAACTCCTGAGATGCCACGGCTCGTCTGAGAGAGAGAGCGCGAGCTACGGAGAGGAAGGGAAGGCTGTCACACAACTGAGAGAGGAAAAGAGAAGATAAGATGAAAGGGAAGAAAAACGAGGAAAGGCACTGCTGGTGACACCCTTGCACTCCTCTGCGCTGGAGCAAGTGTCCACAACGGAAGACTCACAGTATCTCAACAGTCCAGTAGTGTTCAGTAACATCTGCTGTGTGTCCACTTTTATGATTTCATGGTTGTTTGATACAGGAGCCTAAAAGGAGAGCGAGCACATAAAAATATGGAGGTGGGAATCTCAAGCAAAGTGTAGCTTATTGAGCATTTCACTGTAAAATCTTCAGATGCTTTCGCTCTGTTGATTTCTGTTCTTTTTTTCTTTTTTTGTTGGATAACTGCAAGTCCTAATAATGCTGCAAACATTTCCTCTGGGTTGGTGAAAAGGCAGACTGGAGTTCCTTTCTGAGGTCCTTGCTGGCCCAGGGCCTGTGTGCGTGCCAATAATGCTCGTGTCCTGTGTGTACGTGTATGTAAATGCGTGAGTGGATGTGTGTTTATTTAGATAACGTTTGGAGTGGAAGATTTTGGTGCCATACTGGAGTCACTTTGTACTCAGTGATGATAAATGATTCTGTGATGTGCTAAAAGAGCCTCTGAAATTCCACTCTATGCATGAAATGTGCCAGTTAGAGCAGCAAGAGTATGGATGGGCGATTTGTGCACTGGAAAAATTGACACATTTTCCTTTGTGAGCGCTTAAGGCCATTCTTGTCTTAATACTGTTGGACGTATAGCACCTGACCATGTAGCTAAAAAGAAAAGTTTAACTTATTAAGAAGAGTTATCTGATGTAATTTCACAGGAGGCAGATATCTTCTTATCTGAGGTTTTAAATTACACATGGCTTATCTCTGAATCCACATTTGTATATAGTAGAGGCATTACATCAGATAGTTACAGAGATGTTTACAAAGGTATGAAAAAACTATTTTGCATTTTATTTTATGAAAATGTATTTTTAGATAGATAACAGCAATAATGATATTAATTGGAAATACTATTCAGTAGGCAGGATTCATTGACTGAGTGTACTGTAACAGTCTCAGTGTAGTTTCAGTACCTGTTTGTAAATAGACCACTTCCTACAATACACACAGTGCCAAATTTAATTCCTTCCTTATTTACTTAGGAACTGAGATACTTAACTATAAATGCAACATTTTTGAAAAGTCACTCCACACAGCTGTGCTTTGCAATGTGAATCATGTTTTCTCCACATGTCAGAATACATTCCAGAGGGGAAATTTACTGCTGCTCTGCAGTACTGAATAGTGGCAACCTGATTTCATTTGACATCCATGAAAACGCTCATTTCATTAGTGTTATGCTGCAGCTCATACTGTATTTCAGTAATGTAAATGTGCTCACTGTTTCAAAAGTGGGTATAAACTTTTATATATATACATTATTAATACTCATTTGAATAATGTTTCATTCTGTTTCCAGGTACATCTCTTATTTATGAACTGTTGAATGTTTAGAAAATGGCTAAATAAGATGAGAAAGTCATATAGTGTGTGTATTAATTGTGAGTATAAATTAAAATGTATACCTATTTTTGAAACGTGCAGTACGTCGCTGGAAGATGGTGTTATACAATATATTGGTGGCATTCAATCACTTGAGACTGCATTTATGTTTCTTTATCAGTTATTTGTATGTTCATACTTGTTGTTTTGTATTAAATGTGGAATTTTTACTTGTCATGCATACAATGCTGTCGAAGCACATGAATAAAACTTAATATATGCACATTTGTCACCACTGGGGTTAGTGACTAATTTGAAAACGTTTACTTTCAATTGGCTAAAATTGAAAAGGTCTCTTAAAAATATATATAAGTCCTATTATAAAAAAGAATATTTTTTATACAGCCCCTTTAAAAAAAAAAAGATATGAAGTGCAATCTAGTGAAGTCAAATCAGACAATTACAACTATCCAAGTTAACATGTGAATTAAAAGACTAAGATTAGATCCCAGTATGGGGAAAGTCACGTTACAGCAGTTCAAGAGTCAGAAGCAAGAGAAAAAAGGGAAAAAGTTGCTTAGTGATCAAGAAGAATAAACAGTATGACAAAAATACAAACGGGATAAAATAGAAATAAAATAATGTAAAATATACAGTATTTACACCTTTTAAAAGCCTAATGTAAAAGAGAAGAAAATAACATTAAAAATATAAAACATGTTGGAAGTAAAGTGATCTGCTTGCATTAACACAAACCTTAAAATTCTGGGACATGAGTAAAAGATGTCACTGATTCTGCAATTAGTATTGCTATTACAGAGCAGTGGCATAACGGTACTTAAATGGGCCCCAGTGCTTGTTTTTATGACAGGCCCTAGTGGACGCTATTGTGCACCTATTGTCTCGTCACATGATCAGAGACTTGACATTGGATAACATCAACGTAAATATTACCCTCTGATCATCATTACATATCTGTATTTAACAAAAAATACCTACGAAAATAAGAAATTATTAATTTAACATTTTAATAGTTTATTTATAGTTTAAGAATAATTGTTTTATAGAATAGTTGATTCATAGTAATAGAATATTTGATATAGAGACTAGTTGATGTTTAGTTATAGAATAAACATAGAATTGTGACAGAGATGGGTTTCCCTCTTTTAAGGGCATATGTGGCAAATGGCACTGTTTTTTTCTTTAAACACAGGCCTATTTCAAAGTGCCAATTACTCATATGGGCCAATTCATCACCTAACACATTGATGGAGGGCCCACTCTCTCAATGGGTCCCCCCCCACCTCACGGCCCCAGTGCAACCACACTGCCTGCACTGTCTATATTTACACCCCTGTTACAGAACCATATCACTGGCTTACTTGCAATAACCTCACAATATCTGCAGATCTAGCATATCATTTTGCTCATTAATGTGCCATATTGTCACTGTTATCACTTATTTGTATCCACATCTGGGGTTAGTTTTCTAAAAATTGTAGACTACTGGAACCAATTTATTGCATTTACATTATATTTGTGATTTATTTACTGTGATAATTACAGTCAGACAGTTTATTCGACTTCTTACTGTTGAATAAAATGTATCTTTGGAAACAACAACAACAAACAAACAAACACTTAACATAAATCTTGGATAAACCGAGTGTATAATCTACAAAGCGAGTTTTCAAGACGGGAAGAATTCGGGTGAAAAACTACAACTGCTGCTGTCGCGTCCGTGTGACGTCATCAACGCGCGACGTCGACATGACGGAAACAGGTTTGTTATAAATTTCATTCACAAAAGGCGAGTACTTGTGACTAACACCGGTCTGTTAACGGTTGTTTGTTTGACACGTCGTTAAATTAATACACCGTTAGCTACAGAGTGTCTGGAGGAAAATGGCGGCGCCGCTGCTGTAGTGTTGAACGTTAAAGTTTTGAATGACAGAGAGCAGATATGTAGGAGAAAGTTAGCTCCAACTCTGTCGTGTCATACTGTCACTTAGCTTCATGGCACTGTAAAGTTTAAAACTGAAACGTTGATTCAGCTCAAAAGGACTCGTCTGTGTGCTGTGTTTTATACGTGATAACTTGTTACAGGGCTTCCAGCTCCTCTCATTCCTCTTAAATACACTCACTCACTTTATTAGGGACACTTGTTCAACTGCTTGTTAACGCAAATAGCTAATTAGCCAATCACGTGGCAGCAAGTCAATGCATGTAAGCATGTAGACATGGTGAAGACGAGTCGACCTGCTGAAGTTCAAACCGAGCATCAGAATGAGGAAGAAAGGTGATTTAAGTGACTTTGAACGTGGCATGGTTGTTGGTGCCAGACGGGCTGGTCTGAGTATTTCAGAAACTGCTGATCTACTGGGATTTTCACACACAACCATCTCTAGGGTTTACAGAGGATGGTCCGAAAAAGGGAAAATATACTTATAGGTGCCTTGTTGATGCCAGAGGTCAGAGGAGAATGGCCAGACTGGTTCAAGATGATAGAAAGGCAACCAACAACACGTCGAACCTTGAAGCAGATGGGCTACAGCAGCAGAAGACCACACCAGGTGCCACTCCTGTCAGCTAACAACAGGAAACTGAGGCTACAGTTCACTGGAGTCTGGATTTTTGCTGCAACATTCAGATGGTAGGGTCAGAATTTGGTGTAAACAACATGAAAGCATGGATCCATCCTGCCTTGTATCAACGGTTCAGGCTGGTGGTGGTGGTGTAATGGTGTGGGGGATATTTTCTTGGCACACTTTGGGCCCCTTAGTACCAACTGAGCATGGTTTAAACACCACAGCCTACCTGAGTATTGTTGCTGACCGTGTCCATCCCTTTATGACCACAGTGTACCCATCTTCTGATGGCTACTTCCAGCAGGATAACGCACCATGTCACAAAGCTCAAATCATCTCAAACTGGTTTCTTGAACATGACAATGAGTTCACTGTACTCCAATGGCCTCCACAGTCACCAGATCTCAATCCCAGTAGAGCACCTTTGGGATGTGGTGGAATGGGAGATTTGCATCATGATGTGCAGTTTACAAATCTGCAGCAACTGTGTGATGCTATCATGTCAATATGGACCAAAATCTCTGAGGAATGTTTCCAGCACCTTGTTGAATCTATGCCACGAAGAATTAAGGCAGTTCTGAAGGTAAAAGGGGTCCAACCTGGTACTAGCAAGGTGTACCTAATAAAGTGGCTGGTGAGTGCCACCAACTGTTACAAAGTTTTTCTACTTTGCTCTGTAGCCTGGGGGCAGATGGAAACATTACGTTATTTGACTTGTATAAAAGACAAGCTCTCACCTGCTTTGCCTGCAAGGACACTGTATGCGCCCTGACCTGTCACAGTTTAACCTTTCACAAAGACATTAATAACCTTTATCTATTTAATTTCTATCTTTAATCCACTAAGTGCATGGCAACCCATTTTAAAACTCTTTGAATTACTGTTTTGTTATTCCGTTTTATGGTAACAGTATGCAGACATACAGTGAACATAATCACTAGTCTACAAATGAGTATGTTGCTATATTTATATCAGCAGCATCGTTATGGACAAGAGTGGTCATATAAGTCAGATGTTTTTAGCCAACCTCTTAAAATAATGAACGTCATTATGGATTTTCTGCTTTTTCCTGTCGCTGTAGATGTTATCCTCTGTTTTTGTGTGTTCATAATTTTATGAATATATTCCTGGACTGCATAACCGCCGAGGATTTCCTGCTGTAAATGGTAATTGCACCTCTGTCTTGCCAAGCCTGCTTCGTGCCCCAAGCAGGCTAAATGGAAGGACTGTGACGGCACAACCTCTGATATACAACAGGAGAGCTTTAATATAGGCTGCTGCAGATGGTTAGCTGTTCCTGGTGTTGGGCTAAGGTGTTTTGCAATTACTGCTTCATTAACACAGATTGAAATGGGATCATAAAAACTGTTTTCCTGCTCGGAAACATTTGTGGAATGTGTGAAAGGAGATGGAGCTTGGCATTTAAGTTTGAGGTGAGCACACAGACCTTGACAGATTTGGCTTCATCACAGCACACTTAATTCACCGACTAAAGTACCTCAGCCCACAGGAAGCTATAGAATGTCAACTAATAGTTTTGTCTGAAAATTATATAAGCACACACTCTGTCAATTATCCTTGCATAAATAAAAAAGTTTGTAACTTGGAAAAACTGCCATAAATAATAACGCTGTATTTTTGCTCTTGCCTCCTAGGTTGAGCCGTCCTTTGCTCAGCTTTGATGCCATTTGTGTGAAATGGAGCCAGACGGGGACCTAAACCCAGACACGGATGACCTTCCACTCCGAGCCAATACTAACCATATACTTGTCAGACATTATGTGCTGGACCTGACTGTTCATTTTGAGAGGAAGGTCATCAGTGGTAGTGTCGTTTTCTTCCTGGAGCCTTGCTCTGGAGTGGGGACGACGGTTAAGGATGACACTGGACCTGGAGCTGGTGATGGAGCTCGTACTGTAGAGGCCAGAGGGAGTCAGAATGCATTTGTGTGTAGATCTCAGAAAAAAAAAAAAAAAAAAAAAAGTACAAAAGGACTTGAAGAAACCACTACAAGTATAGAGAAGATGTTTGGTGCTGTAGAAGGAGGCAGTCATTTGCAGACTGCAGCTAAAACCAAAAGCATCCAGTCTTCACATTTGTGGGAAACCACCAGTGACGGTGATTTCACCTTAGTGCTGGACTGCTGTGACCTCAACGTGTCCAAAGTGGAAGAAGTGGACGTCACCTCTGTGTCAGCCATGTCTAACCTCCTGCCAGAGGTCGATTGTGAGAGGTCAGGGGTCAGTTCAGTGAACTCACAAGCAGCCTTTATTCAGGCAATTATCTCCACGCCCTCTAGCCAATGGAGGCAGAAGCACCAGCTTTTTTCACTGTGTAGCCGTGCCTCTGGTGCTCAGGACGGCGCATCACTGCATTTTCAGAGAGACCGATGGAGTCTGCAGGTGAGGAAGAAGGGGGTCGCGTCACCTCAGGAGTTCCCTCGTGCTGTTAGGATCTGCTATGAAACGAGGCCAACAGGAGGCTCTGTGAGGTGGACCAAAGACCAGGACGACAGGTTTGTCTCACGAATAGAGTGCTTCCTTTTTTTTTTTTTGGCTGGCCTGGAAGTTAGCATCGCCCTGGTTCCTTTGATAAAAAGCCAATTTCATTTTTCCCCATGGATTATTGCAAAAATAAGCTCTGTGGCAAACAAAAGATTTTGATGCTTACATGTTTTGCTCAGCAAGATAATCTTAACAAATCAACACGACTTTTATGATTTTTGGAGCGTAATTGCAATCACCAGAAGTATAAACGGAATACACCTCAGTCCCGTGACTTCAACACTGCCAACACAACAAGGCTGTAAAGTTGTATTGGTGTGATGATGCTCTGTCGTCTCATTTAGCCTTTTGCGAGCAACTGGGTTTTTAAGGCACGTAAAAGCTTCAAAATTGATGAGGAGGATATTTACTGATACATTTTATGCTGCAGAACAAAACATGAAAGTCTTTTAAGCTTGTGTCGACCAAGACATCATTTCAGGCATCTAACAAAAAACATTGACTTCAAGACGAGGGAATCAGAAGTGCAAAAATGCAAACTCATTTCCAAGTTTTAGGACTCATTCTGGCAGCAATCTATAGTTCAAGCCACTCCATAAAACAGTGGTTTTCTTCCTCCTAAAGATTCCAACACTGGCAACTGGCAGCACATCTGCTCCTGCCACTTGAACTGCAGTGTAATATTCCGAGTTCGACATGTTAGAATAGAATAAAACTGATTCATTAATTCACAAAAACAAGCTTCAGGCTATTATATTCTGTTCAGTGTGTGGATGCTTTATGTGTTTGCGTGTGCATTTATTTGTGTGTGTGTGCTTGGTGAATCCTTTGAGCATTGAAATGGGGGTTGTTTATAGTTTACCATTGTTTACCCTTCCAGGGTGTGTGTTTACACTGCCGGTTCTCCCATCAACAACCGAGCCCTCTTCCCCTGCCAGGAGCCGCCTGTTGCCATGTCAACATGGCAGGCAACAGTACGGGCCCCCAGTGAGTGTGTGGTTTTGATGAGCGGGGAGGAGCAGACTGTACCTATTGAGGACGGGGACACACGTAAGCTGTTATTTTACAAACCTTTTGTGACAGCCAGTTGAAGACGACTTTATTCATGTAGCCCAAAATCATAGATTTGCTATATAGGGCTTTCATGCTGTGCCACACACAACACCTTGTATCCTTAGAGCCTTGTTTAGAAAATATACGATATTGTTAATTGACTAATTATTCAATAATAAAAGTACATTTTAGTGAATTATTTTGTTTTCTTTCTCATTTTGAGTAATGAAAGACTGAATTAGGTAGTGAAAAAGACATAAAAAAAATTGGTATTATTGGAATGTAAACTCAGGTAGTGTATTGCCACTGATATACAACCTTTTTAAACAAGACTATTTTTTTGTTATTTCCATAGACCGTATAAAGATAATAGACGTAGCCACCCATTGGTTTGTGGGCTCCAGCTTTGGTCATTTTTTGCCTGTCCCCATCTTGGATTTTTGGTGCAAGAAGTGACAATATTTGGATGAGAGGATGGAGCTGAGGAGTAGTGACCTGGGAGATATGACCATTTAGCTGAGATGATGCCTAGCAGACAGCCTGTCACTTAAAGCGTCCACATCCTCAATTATGCATAATTTAATAAAGCCTTAATAAAATTTGAACGGGTGAGTTATATAAAAAGTCACCCCTGTTACAGCTTTGATCGGGCCCAAAAAATCAGGCCCAGCCATACATAAATCTGCAGTTTTTATCCAAGCCTGAACCATGGTCGCAGTTTTGGACCAGAGCCTGATTTAAAACCTAAATTTCTACTGTAAAAAAATAGATGTGTTTTTAATATTAAAACATTTACTACAAGCTAAGGGTTAATGTGTTTCTTGCACTGTAGTAGTTTGCCGTCTCATGCATGACAGGTTTTGTGTAAAGGGCTGAGCCCCTCAGTCCGTCTGCAGATGATGATAACTGCTGTGCCACGCATATTATGCACATCTCTCCCTCTGCTTGTGGGGCAGAAGTAAATGCTGCCGACCAAGTCGTTTTTTACCCCTTTCTCATGCATGCTTTCTTTCTCTTCCCTGGTTTTCCACTAAATTGCTCTGTTGTTCTGTCACTTTCCCCTTCTCTCAGTCGCAGTCCCCCCTCTTACTCTTTCCTTCCCATCTTGATTTAATCCTTTGCAACTCCTGCTATTTGCGCACGAGACCTGTCTGATTTATTTAAAAAACAAAACAAAGCAAACATCGGTAAATTGGTGAGAACCCGAACCCTGTGGCAAATTGAAAAAAACTGAGAAATTACAGCCCGTCATGGCCCAAACCCAGTAGCTTAGGTCAGGCCCAATCAGGCTCCAGCAGAGAATCAAAGCTCTACCCCCTGTATAGTTGTCACGACCAGGGCATTAGCTATAGAGATGAAACCATTTTTGCACCAGGATGTAAACATGTTTATTATTTGTTGTAAAGTTGGGTATTTTAACACATGTGTTTATGGGGATTGACACGCTTTTGGAGCCAGCCTCAAGTGGCCATTTGAGGAACTGCAGTTTGTGGCACTTCACATCGGCTTTATTTTTCGGTCCTGAAGGTTGCCGCTTGTTTTGCTGTTTTTTTCTAGCCTCGTTCCAGACCTTTGAAACTGACCACATCTCACTCACACCCACATTTTTTTTCACCAGTTCAAACAAGATTGGCGTTTGTCAGTGTTGACATCCAATTTCTCCCTTCATTTCTCTCTCCATGCTCCCTGCCTCTTATCTAAAGTCCTCTCCATTTTCCTACATTTGACATTTTTCATCCTTTCTCTCTTCCCCTCCCTCTACTCTCTGCAGACTTCTCAGTCTGGAATTACTACGTCACTATGCCCATGCCTGCCTCCACCTTCACCTTGGCAGTGGGCCACTGGCACCAAGTCACAGCAGAAATTCCCCCAGCGCTGGAAAGAGGGGTGAGGGACAAGACGGATTGTGGCAAGACGGCCAAACTTGGGTCTGGGCCTGGGGAATGGACTGAGGCTGACCTTACGTCTGGACTTGGAAGCTCCATCAGTGCAGTAGTAAAGGGCTCTCCACTCACGACTGGCAGGTATTTTATTATTTTTCTTGTGTTCTTTTCTTCTTGTTAGACCTCCTCCTCTCCAGACTGTTATTAACCCACGTCTGGCCCTTTAACATTCCATGGTAAAAATTTCCATTTGCCATACTAAAAACGGTGCAGGTGAAGTTAGGGTGAAGAATAGGGTGCAGCACTCAATCAGCTTTGTATGACAAGTACATTAAAGCATGTATTATAGTACACTGGGTTCAGTGCCCAGCAGAAATTATTGTTGGAGACCAAAAGAAGCAAAGCTGATATACCTTTTACAGGATATAGCGCAGAATGGGGCATTAAAGAGGGCTGACTGGCTGTGGGCAGGGCAGGGTAGGGCTGGGGTCTCCTTCTCCACTGGCCAGCAGGTTGGCAGGTCTGCCAGTGGTTTCCAGTAATCCTCCTCCTCCCCTCATGGTTTTCCTCCAGCAGCAGCCCAGCTGTAGCCTGCTGCAGGCCCCAGGAATCTCCAGCTACAAGGAAGGCCTTTATTTTCAGTGAATGGCTGGAAGGAAACTTGGATGTCGCTCGAAACCTTTGGAACGGCTCTGATGCTAAGGATGGAGTTAGTGCTGGATATTGGATTTAGAGTGAACGAGATTGCATGTCGGCACCTAGATATTTTTGGGATCACTGCGGTTTGCCTTTGTGACGTATATATTCCATATTTCCACTGCTTTCGTTTCCATGCTCAGCACAGAGAGAGGGGACACACTGTGCCATATTTGGTTCACCAACTCAAGAACTGTATATTATTTCAAAAAGAAAATTCATTAAATTGTTGTTATTAACCTTGAATTAAACTTCTCTCCCCTGTTTTTAATCTGCTACAGCGGAGACCAGGCCACCCGCTCAGACTCAACATTCTGTTGCTTTTCCCTTGAGGATGGGGGGCTCTCTGTAACTGAATATTCAGGCATGGTGGATGACGGCATCTCTTGTTCCCATGGCGACTACCCTTGCCGATTTACTGAGCAGTCGGCTAGGTCCCAGCGGGTGATTCCACACCGTGTGTTTGGCCCTGTCTGCTTGCTACAGGAGGCCCAGGTGGAGTTTTGACAAAGAGCCACTGAGACTTGATCTAATTATATTTTATATGATTAGAAGAGACAGTTAGCATCAGCTAATGTTTGTGTCATGATGCTCAGCGGTTTTCAACTGCAGTCTCTTGGCAGAATGGTAAAAGCATGAGACTATATTCCCACCAAGGCCATTTAAAACATTCCGAGTACTCTAAGTGGGAATATCTCAAATCAAAGGTGTTTGCCCATTCAGTCATTTCTGAAGTGATGATGCCTCCATGAAACACTCAGTGTGTGCAGCTGCCTTTGACTTATACTTCCAGATAACCTCTGATCTGGAGCATAGCATCATCATAGACATACACATGAGGAAGAGGAAGACATGTACACAATAATACTGTATAGCCTACTCATTTATATCAATACACAAACCTCTGATTTACGTGAAACTTGTCAGTTATTTTAAGAAACTTGTTGCTTTCTTTTTGCAGATGGGAGTCCTCAAGCTGTTGCCTCAGTGTTTGGCTGCAGCCCACACTGTTCTGGGGGTCCACCCCTTTCCCCGCCTTGATGTTCTCATCGTCCCAGCAGGGTTCTCCAGTTTGGGCATGGCCAGGTAATGACAACTAGGTCTTTGGTAGAATGTTTGAAGTTGTAGATTGGGCAAAATGCTGGACAGAGAACAGGGTAGGAAAGGTAGGAAGGCAGAGGAAACTAGTAGCAAACAGGCTTGTATTTTTAAAATTTGCAGATAACTTCAAGCAGTGTTTGCATATAGATCATTTTTAAATTCTACTGTGGTTATTTAAACCTAGGGTAAAATAATTTTTTGACCACTTGGGGGCAGCAAAAGCAACCTGTGAATACAACATCAACATATTAACACCTTTGAAGGTGATGATGGCACATTCGGCAGAAACAAAAAATTTTTTTTTTTTTTAAGATATTTTTTAGGGCATTTTGCCTTTATTGGACAGGACAGGTAAGCGTGAAAGGGGGAGAGAGAGAGGGGGGGATGACATGCAGCAAAGAGCCACAGGCTGGATTCGAACCTGGGCCGCTGCGGCAGCAGCCTTGTACATGGGGCGCCTGCTCTACCACTAAGCCACCGATGCCCCAACATTTTAATATTTATTTGGAGTTGTGATTACAGTAGTGATGCGTGGATGGCAGTTATATCTACAGACATAAAGGTTAATCTGTGAATGGGGTGGGCTTGTTCATAAAAATTAAAATTCTGATCCTGTGGATGGGTTGCAGGTGGGTGAAATAATATCTGTTGCTATTTTCATTTTACCCAAAGCAAATGATTATATAAAACCTGCCTACTTCAGTCTAGACTCACAAGTCAGTCTTTAGACGCTTTGCTTAACTAAAGACTGATGACTTTCTCCCTGATTTTGTTTAGATGGGCGGATACAATTTCAGAGTTTAAAAAAACTCCCTACGTTGCAGAACCAATAGTAAATCTGCAGGGCGGTCCTTCGGTGGCTCGCTGAACTCTTGTGCTTGTAAACATAGTCCCACTAGAAACACGTGTAGCGGTACAAAATGGCTAAAGTCGCGCTCGCAGAAAACGCCATCAAAGTTAGTGGATGTTTGTCGCATTTGCGGCGACACATTCTTGCCAACTAAAAGAAACAAACATAATCTTTTACAAGGCCATGACTCATCCGTCCGGCCGGACGATAGAGGGAATCGCATTGTTGTTTACAAATACTTCCGGGTAGAAAACCAGCAGAGCTTTTAGCTATATATATATATAACCTATATATCACATTTTTCACATCACTGTATCACCGTTTGGACTAATCCGATGTTTGTAAAGTCTATAAACACAATGATTGAACAAACATTACTATTTCTGTGTGCACGTTTAGCTGGGCTAACCGTTATCTGTTAGCCCTGTTAGCCGTTAGCGGGGTCTGTAATAGGTAATAACTCATTAAACGGTCCATGAAAAAAATATCTTTTCCAGCGGATATCTTAGTTACAACATGATTGAGCTAGCAAAGCAGTTTTGTGTTGCTATGTGTGGTATTTATTCAGTTTTGGGAAATCACGATGTCTAGAAAGCATCAGTGGCTGCAGCTGACAGGGACAGCTAACAGCAGCAGCAAAGCTAACATCAGGACGTCATCTGTTAAAATCCTCCCGTTGTCGGATACGACATGAAACTACTCCAGTTAGCTCAATCATGTTGTAACTAAGACATCCGCTGGAAAAAATATTTTCTTTACGGATGAGCACACGTTTGATAAAACGAAGTTTAATCTCTCGGCATCCATTTTCAAGCTCTCTGTGTGTTTGTTTCCTTGCGGACGAGAAAAGGGGGAGCACACATTTCCGAGAAGGCGTGTCCTTTTCAAAAATGCAAGAGGTGTTGCTTTGTTGCCGGCCGTTTTCGCCGGTGTGTTAAACACACTATAGAAAGGAGTGTCCCCAGACTATCAGAAGGCGGAGATCTCTGATTGTCTGGTGGCGAGACTAACTTCAGTCTAATATGTTACCTTATATTAATGCTTATTAATGAATGTATGTGGATCACTGCAGCAGAAACTATAAGTGCGTCCCGATTAAGAAAGACGCTGTGCGCATTTACACACGAGGAACAGCAGCACAACTTCATTGATTATTTCAGAAGCTTTAAGTTTAGTTCTTTGTTTCTTAGTTAGTTATTTAGTTAGTTAACTTGTTTGTATCTTTCTTTCTTTTCTTCCTCCTTATTTTTCTCTGTTTTCATCTTGTGTTTTTGGTATGCAAACACATTTCGCAAAGTAGCTAAATTAGTCTGTTTGCTGATAGGTGTTTGGAAGTGATGCTGATGAGAGCTGTGAGAGTGAACTAAAACAGTAAAGTTGAAGTCTGTAATACCAAAATAATGACCTGAGAGATGCTAAAACACTCCACAAAGGGGAATTGCAAGAGTGGTAATTATCTGTGGGGATGTTACTGCAAGTGACACCTTTCACAGTATTCATAGTCATTTGATCCATTGTTAATATTAAATATCAAATAGAGCAGCTTTTCAAGTTCTGCAGTCCTGTGTCTGTCGTCATTTAAAGGCTATTTTTTGGACATGAATTTCCAAGTTGTAAAGAAACCGAACATCAAAGATTTGCCACAACAAAGCCAGCACTTTGTTATTTTTCAACTTTATCCTGCTGCTTCTGGTTTGGTTTCTTAAGTAAAAAGTTTCTGAGTTGCATGATTAATGATATACTTCACATTTCAACCCCCCCCTCACTTTGTCTCAATCTTCTTTGTGGAGATCTTCCACATTGAAATTCTTTACTGAATTAATGAGTCTAGCCATAACTCCCTCCAAACTCTGTTTGGTCACTTGTCATCCTTCCTTTTCTCCCCAACATAACCGCTTCCAACACCGGCCTGTATGACTTCTGAGCTGCTTGCATGTCCGTGCTGCATATAAAAGGATGTGTTCCAGTTGTGAGTTGGAGACTGTATATGGTCACTATTGATTTTTTTTCCAGCAAGAAAAGATACAGTAAGATACTCAAGCAGCTCTCGACTGAAGCCGGACAAAATGTAAATACATAAAAGTTGGCAGACAAAGAAATCTTCAGCTTCCTCACCAGGCCTCTGCTCAAACCCTTTTTCCATACTGTCTTCTGTCATTGTCCCATCATTAACTGACTACTTTTCATGATGTTTTTTCTCTTCCCTCCCTTCCTTCATCCCTTTCCCAAAATGCTACTCCTCCCTTTCCTCATCCCGTTTCCAAAACTCACCACTTCTTTCGTCCTTCATCCCTTTTATCCGTGAGGTTCACACTCAGTCAAGTTTACACTGTGCAATATTTTCTCCATCCCTTCCTCCAAACATAATATGGTTCTACTTTCTTCTTGTAGTATTTTTTCTGCCCTTAAAGACCCCAAAACCTTAACCCCAAACCCTGAACCTCTTGATGAGAGTGGTGGCTAACCTCGTCTCTGGGCACAGCTTCATTGACTCAGCAGGTCCATCAATAGTCTGCTGTGTTGTATTTAACCAGCAGAGATTTCAGGTGGTCTGCAGGCTCCCAGCTCCACACTAGACCTGTGTGTATTTATGTATGTATGTTTGTGTGCAGTTTTAGTGGAGGTCTGGGGGCAGATGGGTGGGCACAAAGCCACAGGATGACAGATTCACTACACACAATAGATAATTCTGCTCTGTGTATTTCTTTGTTCCCTCTTCACCCTCAACTCTTTAGCTCCTGTCCCCTCCACTTGTTTTCCATATTCATCTCCTCCTCTTCTGTTTTCTGTCATCCTTCTGTCCTGAAAATCCGTAGTATCCTGCTTCTGTCACTTCTTTTTCACCCTTCACTGTCTCTTTTCATCTCCTGACTTGCTGTATCTCTCTTTGCCCTCATAAAATCTCTAAATCTTCAAGCCCCCTTGTGTTTGCCATCCTTCTCTGTCCTCTCCACTTCTCTGTATGGTCGATCACTCTCCAGTCTGGCCTCCAGCATTCTACAATAGTGATAGTTTCCCTGGAAATCAAGTTTTATATTTTTTCTGCAATATAGTATGTTCAGCTGGCATATGGCATGCCTGCAGATGCGACTGAAAGCTTAAAGTTAAAATTGGAAATTGTAGCAAAATAAAGACCATCAATGACTGGCCTTTCTTAAAATTGTGTTGATAAAGTAAACTGATTAGGGTGGTCAGTGAACGTTGTCCCACTGTCTGCGGTCTGCAACCACAGTCTCTCCTCCTCTCTGTCTGCCTTTTTCCTCTCTCCCGGCGGCCTCCCTGGAGAAAAGTACCCCAGACAGGATATGAGCTCATACCTGAATATGTATTCAGCGTGAATTTTCGGTGTTGCAGCCAAGAGCGGTCTTAATCAGAGATATTTTGAAGGACAGAGGGTGACAAGAGAGTCGGTGTCTGGACCTCGTTCACAACTTTGCATACTTATTTTGACTACTTCGCCCAAAAATACAGAGTGCTCTTTGATCTACGGAAAATCTTTCCCCTCATCTCGTGAAAATCTGTCTCCCTGCTGTATTTATTTTGAATGGACATCAAGTGCTAACACAGAGGCTGTTCTGCTGTGGTTGTTGCCTGACGGATGTTTTCTTTCCCTTATGAGGATAGCTCCCGGGCACTTATCCCTCCTGCCCTGGCTGCTTAGACCCCAGTTAGCTACAGATGACAGAGAAGAGATTTAAGGCCTTCATTAAGCTTCAGACAGCACCTGCACTGACTCCCTATAAAACTCTGCATGGGTCTCAACCCAATGTCAACTCACTGCATCCTCCCCTCAGCGCGGGTGGTTCGGTCCTGCATGCCTCCGCACTTAACCACAGGGTTGTGCCATAGGGAGGCGGGGAGGTCAACCAAAATGGAAGCGTAGATTGAGATGGAGATGAGAGAGAGATGGAGAGGGTAAAGGCGGGGTTCACGACAGGCCCGCGGACCCCCAGGATGTGGGAGAGGATGTGTGGATTATTCCCAGCAACAAAAGCCATTAGCCCCTGGAAGAACTTCAGAGACATGGCGCTATTTAATCTAGAGATTGGGAGGTATGTGGGCCCCAGCACTTGGGACCAAGCCAAGTGCAGTTTTTGTGCAGTGCCCCAGTGGAAACAGCAGGAGTGGAGGGGCT